ACACCTTGTTCCCCTTCTGAGGCAGAGGTTCTCTGTGCTGGGATCTGAGGACCAAGGATGATGTCATGGGCCCTTCTGAGACTGGAAAGATTCACAAGTCCCTGTGAAGCCCAGCAATTGTCTGTAGACATCTGGAATCTCCAGCTAGGGCATCTTTGTACATCTCGAGAAACCACTACATTTCTTACTTCAACTCAGGGCCCTAGAAGCAGCTCTTGATGACACAGAATGCCAGGGAGTGAATGGTGGGCCTAAGACTCCAGAAATCTTCCTCAGATGCCCCTAAGGACACAAGAACCAGCTTGGAAAGGCTACCGAGAAAACTTTTCTCCCTCTTCAGAAATGTTTACTTCAAGCTTGAAAGCCAGGGAACTGCCATCGGTCAAAATGGCTGCTCAGAGACAGCTACCTAGCTCCTCTGAAGTTGATGAAAACTTTCTAGTTCACTTCTGGTGGCCAGGAAATGTTGATACTGTCCTGGAAGTCCTGAAGAAAGTGACCAGCTCTCTCGAGCAACTGCAGAACTTTGTAAGTACTCCAGGGAATCTTGGAGTTTTGTGGAATTTAGTCCATTGGGATATAGCTGATGATTTTTCTTATGATCACATTGGCTTTTGTGTTTTCTTGTTTGTTGGATTTTTAAAATTATTTTTAAAATTATTTATTTTTTGCTGTGTTGGGTCTTTGTTACTATGTGAACTTTTCTCTAGTTGTTGCGAGATGGAGCTACTCTTTACTTGTGGTGTGAGGGCTTCTTATTGCTGAAGCATCTCTTATTGCCAAGCACAGGCTCTAGAGCATTCAAACTTCAGTAGTTGTGGCCCATGAGCTTAGTTGCTCTGCGGCATGTAGGATCTTCCTGGACTAGGGACAGAACATTGGCAGGCAAATTCTTTACCATTAAGCCACCTGGAAGCCACTGTTTGTTGGATTTTTATTTATTTGTTTTTTTGAGAAAGATGGCAGAGCTACCATCCACCATTCTCATCATTTCATTTCAAGGCTACAAGTCTGAAACAACTTAATACTAGGATATTAGTGTTGTTTGTCCAGCTACTTAGATTAGGTTTCTCCAGTGTAAAGTTATGCTTATATCATGTCAAAAAATGCATTGTTTTGGAAGAATTTCACTATGCACAACCTTTGAGGAGTGAAGAGTTATGCTCCACCTCCTTGATTGCTGATATCCACATGAATTATCAGGAATTCCTCTCCATGGGAGATTTGTACTGTCCTCCAATTTGTTTATATAGTTAATCCTTTATACATTTATTTATTTATTTTGGCTTCACCATGCAGCATGTGGGATCTTAGTTACCTGACCAGGGATCAAACTCCCAATGCAGGCATTGGGAGAGCAGAATCTTAACAACTGAACCACCAGGAAGTCCCATTTTTTATTTAAATCAGTATGAACTCTTGGATATTTACTTTGTATCCCAGGATATAGTGAGTACAACTTTATCCTATTGCTCAAAATGTTCCAGTTTGGGCCCTTGGGAACTCTTTTAGTTGACTTCTGTTTTCTTTTGACATAATCTCCTCTATGCCTCTGTGTGTGTGTGTGTGTGTGTGTGTGTGTGTGTGTGTGTAGCTGTTTTGTTGAATTAACACTTCCTCACTTTCTGGAACTACAAGAATTTACAAATCTGTATATTTCCTGCTCCAACCCTAGAATGAACTGTTTATCCAAAGAATATGGTTTGTTTTTATTAGCAAATACGATTTCAAAAATAGCATAGATCTGAATGTGTTCATTGCTAGAGGGGAGTGCTTGTTTCTTGGCTTTTCAGCGGACAGTGTGAGGAAATTTTTGTTTAAGGAAATGGCAACCCACTCCAGTGTTCTTGCCTGGAGAATCCCAGGGAAGGCGGAGCCTGGTGGGCTGCCGTCTATGGGGTTGCACAGAATCGGACACGACTGAAGCGACTTAGCAGCAGCAGCAGCAGCAACAGCTTAATAATTCATCCTGATGTTCTCGTCTGTCATCTACGGGCACACGGGCTGTTCTAGCCGGGCCCCCTCCCCGATCTCCGGGCGTCCTGTACTGTGCCCGGCCGCCGGCAGAGGGCATCGGACCGTGCCACGTGGAGAACGCGTCGCCACGCGGGGACCTCGACACAGTCTCCGGGCGAGAGGACAGGAGCTCCGAACCGTCGGGACGCACCGGGACCAGGAGGTATTTCTCTCAAATAGAGGGAATGTGCTTTTCATTTTCTGGACTTTTTCCGTTGTTCTATTATTCCCGTTCTCGTGCACTATAAATTAGACTTCTGTGCACTATGAACAAGACTTCTTTTACAGAAGTATTCATTCATTAAGTGGTTTGGGGTGAAAAATCACAGCCTGCTTTAGTATTTTTTATGGATTCGGGATGGCTTCTGTAGAGAACTCTCGCTACAAATTTGGAGGAAGGGAACCGTGTGGACGTGTGGATGGTGGGAGCAACCATGAGCGGCGGTTCGGTCGTGTGTCTTGCGGACACGGAAGGGTCTGGTTAGCAGTCACCCGGCCCCGGGGGGGAGGGAAGTGTTTGCAACACTATACGTGTTTGTTTATTTTTAGAGGGTAATTTTTCTGTAAAGTGGAAATAGTTGGAATATTGAAAAATTAAAGAGGGTGTTTTAAAACTTCCAACCATACTTAAATATTGATTCCCCTCCCCCCACATCCAAATCAGAATATATCGTAAGTTCACTTTCCAGGCTTTAAAGAAAATCGTCTTCCCTCTCATTCCTTTAAAGTAATGCTTCTCTGCGTATCTCAGTTTCAAGTTGAATTATTGCCATGATTAACCTTTTTTGTGTTGTGACCCAATAACAGTTTTTGATAATTCTGAGTTAATTTCATCTTAGGGCAGGTCTTCTGCAGAACCTCAGTGTGGTAGGAATTGTTGCAAGAAACCTAGGATACTTGCAAATTTATTAAATCGTCATAAAAGGAAATGAAGGGAAAATACTGATTTTGAAACAAAAGCTTAGACTCGAAATGATAATCGGCTAACACTTTTTTCAGAATTGCGTGTTCTTTCTTGAGACCGAGGACGGAGGGCGGGTGGCGGGGTCGGGAGGAACTGCGAACAGGAAGGACGTGCCAGGCTGCCATCATAGATAGCCTGAGACATCTCAGTTCTAATTTTTTTTTTTTAAGAAGTATTTATTTATTTACTTTTGGCTGCCCTGGGTCTTCACTGCTGCGTAACAGCTTTCTCTAGTTGCGGTGAGCGGGGCTTATTGTCTAGTTACGGTTTGTGGGCTTAGTTGCTCCGTGGCAGGTGGGACCTTCCCGGGTCAGGGATTGAACCCATGTCTCCTGCACTGGCAGGCAGATTCTTAACCACTGGACCACCAGGGAAGTCCCTAAGTTTTACTTTTTAAAATATTAGTTAAGACACTATTTATATTGAAAACATTTGTAAGTTGTGACTCTTTTTCTGAAAGGGCATAATATTTTAAAAATTTGTAGTAGTGATTTACATACTTAGGGTGTAGCTAAATATTCTTGCAGAAATGCATCCTGGGTTGACTCTCTGTTACTTTGTATTAAAATATGAACTCTCCATAATCATCAAAATGTTTGCTTCTTGGCAGTATCACCAGTGTGTTTTTATCTGAAAAATTTTTTTTAACAATTTCAAATCAGGTGACAGAAAACCAGCTAAAGGCTCAGAGTTGCTGAAAAAAAAATAGTCACTTTTACTTTTTTTTTTTTCTGTGACTAAGACAATCTCCATATGGCAGGAGTCAGGTTCTCTTAGGATTTGCCTCCAGTGAAAGTAAGTGAAGTGAAAGTCACTAAGTAGTGTCTGACTCTTTGCGACCCCATGGGCTATACAGTTCATGGAATTTTCCAGGCCAGAATACTGGAGTGGGTAGCCTTTCCCTTCTCCAAGGGATCTTCCCAATCTAGAGATCAAACCTAGGTCTCCTGCATTGCAGGTGGATTCTTTACCAGCTGAGCTACCAGGGAAGTGCAANGTATTTACACTGCTGTATTCCATTCCTCGCTCCCTTAAGGATGTTATTGAAGAAAAGGTAAAAAGTTATTTCCTTGAATTTATGCCACGTTAGGGTTTGCAGTGGGCTTAGGCACGTGGTAAACACAGGCAACAGAAACGAGTAAGAGTAAGTGTCTAGTCCTGCAGCTGTTTCTCAGGTGAGTGTAGTCCATCCAGTGATTTGGATGTTGCAGAGGAGGGTTCTGCAGCATGGAGATTGGGTTGAGAGGAGGCAAGCGAGAGAGCAATAATGAATCATTAGTTTTCCCCAATTTTAAATTTATTCAAAATTTTATAGCATATACTTGCACATTTAAATAACTTTAAAAAAGAAAAAAAAAAAACTCCTTACCCCTTTGGTCCCCAACAACCCAGTTTCCTTCTTTGTAATCAAAACTGCAAACAGAAAGAAATGTCCGGTACTGTTTTCTTACTTTGGGCTGTGCATTAAGAAGAAGGATTATAATAGAATTAACCTGGGGTCCTGTAGAAATTTTTGAAGGGCTGGAAAGATCAGGTTCTGCTGAGAGGCCTCTATTTCCTGTTAGTATATAAACAGCTTGGTGGTACAGGAGGGACGGTGATAACCCATGCTTGAAGGTCCCAGAGAAGACGGAAATGAAAGGTCTCATCACAGGAGGGTCGGGCTGGGACACTCCTTCTGTGTGGCAGTCTTAGGGCCTCTTGGGGTTTGCTTCTGAACTGTACGTCTTGTTCTCTGTCATGAACATATGAGTTGTGCAGAGATGGGAGAGGCCACCTAATTGTCACATTCTCCAGGAGGGTGTTCAGTTCTGCAGAATTTGGCCACTTCTTTGCCAGGTTATTTCCACTACAGTTACCTCATTTGCTATAATGATGTTTTGTTTTCAAAGAAAGTGAAAGTGAAAGTCACTCAGTCGTGTCTGACTCTCGGTGACCCCATGGCCTATACCCCCTGGAATTCTCCTGGCCAGAATACTGGGGTGGGTAGCCTTTCCTTTCTCCAGGGGGATCTTCACAATCCAGGGATCGAACCCAGGTCTCCTGCAATGCAGGCGGATTCTTTACCAGCTGAGCCACAAGGGAAACCACTTTGTTTTCAAAGTGGTGTGTATTTCTGTGAACATGTGTCAGAGACACGCGGCATATCAGCATAGAGAAATGTTTGACCAGAACCCCAAACAAGGTTGAGCTTTTTCTTACACAGCAATCTAACCGCAGCACTACTGTGTACGTATCCTCCCTGGCACTTTGTGGGGAAGCCCCTGGCTGCACAAAATGTCCATGTTTTAGGAATCAGTGACCCTCAAGGATATCGCTGTAGACTTCACCCAGGAAGAATGGGCCCTGTTGGACACCTCTCAGAAAAAGCTGTTCAGAGAAGTGATGCTGGAGAGCCTTAGTCATCTGGTCTCTGTGGGTGAGTCTGTCAACATTGAGGCATTTTTTTAAACAAGTATCCAGAACAGCTTTTACATATTCCCTTCCCGTCTCAGCCCTCATTGACATTCTTTCATGGTTTTTAAAACGCCTTGAAGTTAATTCGTTTATTTATTTACTTATACATGTTTTTGTCAGCCCCAAAGAATATAGTTTTCCTGACCACTCTTCCCTGTCCTTCTTGCTTCTTTAACAACCAGGAATTCAATAAATATTTCTAAATAAGTGAAAGTGTTAAATATTTACTAAATAACTCTGTTTACTCACCTGATAGTTACAAATTCATTAATGAAAATTATACCAGTGATCTATTTCCAAAGAGAAATTAGATTGTTCCTGTGGAGCTTCTGTGTTTTGGATTCTGTTTTATTTTATTTTATTCTGTTTTAAAAGTAAAGTTTATCCTACTGTTGTTGTTCAGTTACTTAGTCGTGTTTGACTCTTTGCAACCCCATGCACCTATCCTAGTGTGGGAAGATTTAATTTCTCCATTTAAAGCACTGAGGCTTCTTCACTCTAGCTTTGACCTTGGGCCCACACATCAGCAAGAAGAGCCCCCTGTGTTGGCCCAGTGCCATGATGTTATTCCTGTTCAGAAGGAACAGCTTCCTGAAAGAAGCTTTAGTGTTGTATCAGAGGTGCTCTTCCTGGGCTGTTCTCCGGGATTCACCATGTCCTTCCTTGGCAGCCTGCCCTGAAATTAAAGAATGTGCATAGTTCTTTAACTATGAATGAAATCCAAGACAAAAATGCCTTTTTCCCCCTATAAACAGGGTATAAACTCAGCAAATCAGATGTGATTTCCCAGCTGGCGCAGGGAGCGGAGCTGTGTAAGGAAGAGAAAGGATTTCCCCAGTGCCCGAGTTCAGGTGAGTTCCAGGCTCCCGCGTGTTCAGTATCAGGAAGACCCTGATACTAGGGGAGCAGATGCCTGGAAATGTCAGCAGCAGAGTTTCCTGAGTGAATTCTGTTTTCAGGAAAGTGGTGGAGGCCACTGGGACCTGCACTCTCTTTTGCATTTTCTTTTGGCCTCAGAAAGGAACTGTTCACGTCCTCTTAAAGTTTTGTGTGGTGTTCTTTGTCCTGTTTTCTTCCCTTTGAAAAATTTCCCTCTCTTTACCTTATCAACAACCAATCTTGATTTTCTTGTCTCTTATTTCAATCTTGAAAATATTTTTTAATTTTCAGTTTTCTAAAATGGGTTTTAACTCACTTTACCTCCTTTTCATATTCTTGCTCTGGTTCAGGGTCAGTATTTGAAACATACTCACGCAGGCCTTGCATGCTTTCAACCGTTTTCTTCCTCCAATGTCACACTAGCATTTTTTAACATCATTTTAGACAAGAAAAGTGATCCTGTGAGACAAGAAAAAATATCCCTGCAAGATACCTACAGGGAAGACCTATCTAACTGTGAATGGTAAGTCTCAAGGGGGTGAACCCACCCCTCTTCACTAAAGGCATGGGAACTGAAAGGCAGGACAGCATGGTTAGTTGAGGTGAACTTAAATGCTGCTGCAGCAGAAAGTTTTAGATAGTTTCAATTTAGAGAAAAAAATTCATACTCGAAACCATAGCCTGAGTACTTATAAAAGAATTGCATAAACATGACTTTGAAACTAATGAAATATTTAACAGATTTGCAGTTGAGATATTATGAAACAGGAAATCTGTATTGTAGAAAGTAACATGCAATGAGTATGTAAATAGCATTCAACAGGAGCCTGTTTGTGGCATGGTCAAACTAGAAGTCGTGTAGAGAAAATTAATGAATGTCTGTGAGAAATCTTTAATAGCTTCTCATCTCCTTGGAACAGCAGAGATTTCACACTGGAGAGGACATACATGGATATAATGATTTGGGGGACATTTTCACTCACAGATCTACAGTGAAAAGACATGTGCTAAATCATATGTGGGGGGGGACCTGTAAATGTAATAAACATGGGAAAGAATTCCACCAGAGCACTCAGCTTTCTGTACATGAAAGGACACATATGAGAAAAACCCTATAAACCTAACAAATGTGGTAAATGCTTCAGCCATCAATTCAGTTCAGTTGCTCAGTTGTGTCCGACTCTTTGCGACCCCATGGACTGCAGCACACCAGGCTTCCCTGTCCATCACCAACTCCTGGAGCTTGCTTAAATTCATGTCCATCGAGTTGGTGATGCCATCCTCTGTCATCCCCTTCTCCTCCCGCCTTCAATCTTTCCCAGCATCAGAATCTTTTCCAATGAGTCAGTTCTTCGCATCAGGTGGCCAGAGTATTGGAGTTTCAGCTTCAGCATCAGTCTTTCCAATGAATATTCAGGACTGATTTCCTTTAGGACTGACTGGTTTGATCTCCTTGCTGTCCAAGGGACTCTCAAGAATCTTCTCCAACAACTTCAGCCACAGGGCTAATGTTTACTTGCATGAAGAATTCATGTGGGAGAGAAACCATATAAATGTAAGGTATGTGGGAAGCAGTTCAGCCAAAGCACTTACTTACATTCACACCGAACAACTCACCCAGGAGAGAAACCCTATAAATGCAATGCGTGTGGCAAAGAATTCCATCAGTGCATTCAGCTTTGTATACACCGAAGAACACACACTACAGAGAAACCCTATAAATGCTTACATTCACACAAAAGAAATCCTTTATAATAAACATGGTAAAGCTTTCTTTCATCCTTTCCTTCATCTTTAGTCAACAAAAGAAAATCACACTGGGGAAAAACTAGGAATCTTTTGGTTAAAACTTCGGCCTTAGATAGCATGAGAGAGTTCACACTAAAGAGGAATCTTACATATGAAATAAATATGACAAAAATTCAAGGCATATGTCCAATCCTTAAAGAAAATAATCATGTGTTATGGAAAAGCCTTCAAATAGTTCCTTAACCTTAATTGATGTGAAAGAACTCACACTATAAATGTAATGAAGGACTGTCTTCATCCTCAATTTTAATGTTTATACACACTAGAGAACCTACACAGGGACAAATTGTGTGTCTGCAACTAATGTGGAAATGCCTTCAAAGACTAGGGCAGCAGGTGAGCCAGAGCTTTCAGGGTGTCTGCTCTGCACTCTAGGTCCAAGAGAAAACAGAAATGGAGTGAAAACCTGATGGAAAATATGGGAGCCAAAGAAAGCTGGAGGAGGATGGGAACTGGGCTGGTGGTAACAGCGACCTTCAGCAAAGGGATGAATCAGGGGCCAGGCAGCCAGTGAGCCCTGGTTCATTCCCCTTAGGGCTGATCCCTCCACAGTTTCTCCTGATGTTGGTCTCTCACTTCCCCTTGCACTAGGAACAGATATCAATTTTCTCTCTGCACCCCAACTCTACCCTGCCATTCCCATACCCACTGCCCTCAGCTCAGTCTCAGAAGCTGCTTTCATGCCCGCCCTGTTGGATTCAGGGCTGGTAGTGCTGAGCCTGCCTTGCTCCAGATGCCAGCTTGGAGTGAGATATTCAAAGGCTGATCCGTGACCTACACTCAGGTGCCACGGTGGCTTCCCTAGTCTCATTTGAGAACATTCCAAATAGTAAGTGAATTGATACAAAATAGAAATTTCTATCTCAGAAGTCATTTTGTATGGAGCATTCATGACAGTGAAAAACTAGTTGAAGTGAAATCAAAACAAACAAAAAAAACCCTTTGGCTTTTATTCTGAGAATTAACGTGTAAGCTGTGTGTGATGTAACAGTGACAGTACCCGTCGGATCCGACAGGCCTGTGTGGGTGTGCCCTGTGTGGGTGTGCTGGGGGCACGCTCACAGCACACGCTCTGGGCACTGTGTCACTCTCACCCGGCCTAGTGGGCTGAATCTCCCAGAGGAAAACAGCCTCAAGTGTTTACAGTTTATCTCATGAACATGTGTCTGCAACTAACGTGGAAATGCCTTCAAAGACTAGGGCAGCAGGTGAGCCAGAGCTTTCAGGGTGTCTGCTCTGCACTCTAGGTCCAAGAGAAAACAGAAATGGAGTGAAAACCTGATGGAAAATATGGGAGCCAAAGAAAGCTGGAGGAGGATGGGAACTGGGCTGGTGGTAACAGCGACCTTCAGCAAAGGGATGAATCAGGGGCCAGGCAGCCAGTGAGCCCTGGTTCATTCCCCTTAGGGCTGATCCCTCCACAGTTTCTCCTGATGTTGGTCTCTCACTTCCCCTTGCACTAGGAACAGATATCAATTTTCTCTCTGCACCCCAACTCTACCCTGCCATTCCCATACCCACTGCCCTCAGCTCAGTCTCAGAAGCTGCTTTCATGCCCGCCCTGTTGGATTCAGGGCTGGTAGTGCTGAGCCTGCCTTGCTCCAGATGCCAGCTTGGAGTGAGATATTCAAAGGCTGATCCGTGACCTACACTCAGGTGCCACGGTGGCTTCCCTAGTCTCATTTGAGAACATTCCAAATAGTAAGTGAATTGATACAAAATAGAAATTTCTATCTCAGAAGTCATTTTGTATGGAGCATTCATGACAGTGAAAAACTAGTTGAAGTGAAATCAAAACAAACAAAAAAAACCCTTTGGCTTTTATTCTGAGAATTAACGTGTAAGCTGTGTGTGATGTAACAGTGACAGTACCCGTCGGATCCGACAGGCCTGTGTGGGTGTGCCCTGTGTGGGTGTGCTGGGGGCACGCTCACAGCACACGCTCTGGGCACTGTGTCACTCTCACCCGGCCTAGTGGGCTGAATCTCCCAGAGGAAAACAGCCTCAAGTGTTTACAGTTTATCTCATGAACAATAATACAATAATACTTTTACTCCTGCTTTCTGGGGATCAGTGGTCATTTTCTCCAACAGAGAGGTGAACTTTCTATTTCCCAAACTTCCCCAGTTTTTTAAATTTGGTTGAGAAGAAGAATAACAAGGAAAGTTATGAATAATTACTGAATGCTCTTGTATGATCCCTGTAACATAAAATAGGAATATGTGCTGTTTGTTATTGTCATTATTAAGTCTGGATTATCATATTTAGAAGATACATTAAAAGTTTACTTTTTTGTGCCACGTGGTTTGAGGGATCTTAAGTTCCCCGATTAGGGACTGAACATAGGCCAGGGTAGTGAAAGCACTGAGTCCTAACCACTGGACCATCAGGGAATTCCCAAAAGCTGATTTTGGAAATCTATTACAGCTTATTTCGTAGAGAACCAGTAATAATGGAAAAATAAATGTGTTTTATGCATAATGTACTCTGCTAATTCATGTGATAATATGTGGATTTTTATGTTCCAGGCGTATAAAGAATGAAATAATGTCTATTTTTAATTCTATCTTAGGGTCTGTCATCTAGCAACATTTCATTCTAGGCTCATTCATATACCCACATAACTGTTGATGTACAGAGGACATGCCTCCAAAAGAACTGAAATCAAAATATTACATAAAATGAAAAATTTATATCAAAATATAACCAATTATTATGGAATTTAAGGTCAATGGTATTAACCTAACAAGTATGTTTTTTTAGCACACATAGATTAAGTTGTAGATTAAGATAGGCTAGTTAATAGTAATAAAACATTCAGATAAAGTGTTCGTTACCAGGAAATGATATATGTAAAGTATGCCAAGTGTGAATTACTTGACATTTCAGATGAGGACATTAACCAATACTAGGAATTCTTCATAAATAAATGGTGACAATAATTTTATTACATGGAAAATTAAAAGCCATTAAAATATAATTTCAGATAACTCATTCTTTTGTAAATGTACACTTTTTAAAAAGTTCATCACAAAGAGGACTTTTAGAGCAGTGAAATACTCTGTATGACATTATAATGATGGATACATGTCATTATACATTTGTCCAAATTCACAGAATGTACAACACCAAGAGCAAACTGTAATGCAAACTGTAGACCATGGATGATTATGATGCATCAGTATAGGTTCATCTTTATTAAAAAATGTACCATCTAGTAGTGGTGTTGATAATGTAGGAGACTGTGTGGTTTGGGGAAAGGAGCAGTCTCTGTACATTCTCAATTTTGTTGTAAACCTAAAACTGATGTTGAGAAATATCATTTTATTTGTTGAATAAATAATATCTCACACAACTTTTATATAACTATTACTGAGAATGTTAGAAAGCATTCTATTAAAATTTTATTAACATATCTTTCAAATTCTGATATATTAGTAATGTAGATTATGTTAACAGTACTTCATTATTTGATAGTATCATTAATTACTGCATAATTCAGTATAAGCATATATCACATTAATGAAATTGAAATTTACCACTAAAATATTCCATCATTATTTAATGTTTTCATTAATTACTATATCATCAATATTGTAATTACTATCATTTAAATTCACCTTCTACTTTAATACTAGATGTTCTAGTATAGGTTATCCAAAATCTTATTGGTTTTTCTTTTGAATTCCAGACATGACTGTAGTGGACATGCCATCGAATCCTGAGGGCTCTCACTGCCTGGGGGCTGCAAGAGGAAATTGACTTTGTTTTCATCTCAATCGTGTTTGATTTATAACACTAATTAAAAGTTTTTAAAATGTGAAAATCCCTAAGAAATAGTCTTTATTCAATGCAGTAGAACCTGAATATAACTATAGTTCTCAGTCAACTCAAAGATGCTTTTTGGAAGGTTCCATACGCGTGTGATCATGAATCACCAGTTGGTAACCTTTCTCTGGGCTAGTTTTCCCTAAAGGACAGATTTGTTTTCAGGAACTAATAAACTGAATAAGGCATACCTTTGAATATTAAATGTGGTAGTGATATTAATCTTCTGAGTCCAGCACAGTTATCACCTGGAGGTTGTCCTCCCATATGGAAAAGACTAGAAACCAGGAGGTTGTTCTCTTGCTGTAGTTATGGCTGATGGCTCATAAGACGACTGTGACTAGGCCCTGGGCATTGTGATGAGGAGGGTCACAGAGCAGTGGATAAGGGGAGACCCATGCACGTGAATGGCTTTTTCTCTGATTAGGCAACACTAGAGCCAGTTTTAGACAGTTCTGCCTATCATTCAATATCTCATGTATTTAAACTTAGACGAATTTCTAGATCTTACACGTCTTATAGAAGAACTTCTCAAAGGATTTGAGGACCTGCTTTCTTACCTATTACTAGGTTTTAGTTCATGTTATTGGGGAGGCCTCTCACTGCTGTTTTCCACACAGGAATGAAAACCACCCTCTCTGCTACCTACCTCTGCGTTTTCAGATGGTGCAGGTTTTCTTTCCTTGGTGTAGTCCATCATCTCACACTGTAGTTATATATATATATATACAAGGACAGAGCTTCTCAAATAAGAAGGTGGATCCTCACATCTTGCACAGTAATGCAAGATAGTAAGAGCAAGCAGTGAGGGAAGGGTGAGACAGTTGTAAACTTCCTGGCTAAGCTTTAAGAAAAGCACCAACACAGAGATCTGGTGATACTGGCAGAGTATTTTGTGTGGAGGGGGGGCTTTTTGGTTTTGGCTCTAGTGTTTAAGATCTCGCTCAAATCATAAGGTGGCCACTAAAGTAATACAGACCTCAATGGTGTATCATACATAACAAAACCTTTTACACAAAGTTCAGAAAATCAATAAACAAATAAGCACAAACCACATGTCAACAAATCTCAGGAAGGCAGGAGAGTCTTATTTCTAGACACATTATAATATTCAAAATATCCAGTACTTCATGCAAAGAGACAAGAAAATACATCCCATCCTTAGGATAAAAAGAAAATTAACAGATACTGTCCCTGAGGAAGGACAGACATTGGAGTTACTAGAAAAAAGCTTTAAACAACTGTCTCAATGTTGCTCAAAGAAGTAAAGGAAACCAGGCAAATGATGCTTCATCATATCACGAGTTTCAATTAAGAGGTTTGTTGTTTTTTTTTTTGGCTGTGCCCTTGGGATATGGGATTTTAGTTCTCCAACCAGGGATTGAATCTGGGCCCTCTGCTTTTTTTTTTTTTTTTTTTGGCTGTGCCCTTGGGATATGGGATTTTAGTTCTCCAACCAGGGATTGAATCTGGGCCCTCTGCAATGAGAGCAGAGTCCCAATCCCTGGACCACAAGGGAATTCCCAACATAGAGATTATAAAATGGAGTCAAATAGATATTCTGGAGCTAAAAGTACTATGGGCTTTCACCTGTGTTTATTATATAAATATTAATAGGGACTTTCCTGATCACAGCCGATCCCTCTCAAGCCAAAACACCAAGATGTTGAATTTTGCTCATCATCCTCACATATGACCTGTTTCCATCCTAGCTGAACAGTAAAATCACTTTTCAAAAAAATTATGTTTCACCCTGAGATGTGCTTATTTAGTTGGCCTCAGACCATGATGTGGTGAATGTGTTAGTTTTGGGAAGAGCACCCATCTGCTTAGTATTCTCTTGAGAGTACTTCCCCTACAGATGGAGGTTCAGTGTGGAAGTGCATGGAAAGGCAACACATTTCCAAGCCCTGGGAGCAAGGCAGGGGAGACCTCCTTTGAAAAAACTTCATTTCGCTTGGGGAAAAGAACACTAAGTTAATGATAAGAAGGGCTTCTGTGGTATCTGAGACGTTAGGGGATATTATATTGCTTGGGTCTTCTTTCCAGGGCTGCTGTGTGTGTGTTGGGGGGGCGGGGTTGGGGGGGTGGCACAGCAGCCTGTTTGGAGGGTGAGTAAGTGCATAACTAAGGACTCACCTGAATAAAATGGGGGATGGGGTCGTACAATGAACTCTGCCCCCAATTAGTTCAACTCAGAGGCTTCACAGAAAAATCTTACTAATCTTCTTGGCCTGGAACAGCAGAGCTGCGTCTCTCTGGCCCCATGTAGCTGCCCCAGGGCAGAGCCAGGCTGGGGACTACCCGGCGGTTCACACTAGGTGTCCATGACACTGCTCACATGGTGGGCCAGGGTCAGGCGCCTGAGAAACCAGCCAGTGGGCTGAACACTGCCACCAGGGTGTGGATGAAGACAGCTGATGGTGGGAAGCTGGACTGAGTGGAGCTGAGCTGTGTGGAAGGAGCTGTGAGAGAAACAGGGAAGACTCAGAGTTAGGCTGAATCTTACCCACATGTCGCCAAGTGCAGAGCCAGATCTATGTGTTTACAGCTGCATGAAGAAAACTAGAACTTCATCAACATGTGAGATTTTTCAGCAACAGACTTTATTATTTAAATATTTACAAATAATAATCTATTGAAAAAAGTTTAGTTTCTTACAAAATTTGGCATTCAGTGTTCCCAGATCACTTTACTATCTTGTATTTATATATCAGATTTTTCTTCATAAATAGTTCACCCAAAATTCTGAATTATTTGCTAAATTGTATGTTAAAAGCTCTTTTAAAGGGTTTTTCACCTCCCCTTAGTTTTCTGAAATCTAGATGAAGTTTTCTCCACTTGATTTTAGGATCACTGTTTCTTCAACATGAGAACCTTAATGTTGATTATGAAATGAGGTCACTGAAGACTTTCCTTCTTTCATGACACAGAGTGTTTTGTACAGTCTGAATCCACACATGTACCTCAGGAGTGGATCTTATGAATAAAGGATTTGTCATGATTTTTCAGTGAGTCACTTCTTTAGGATGAATTATTTAGTATTTCTCTTCTTACTTCCTATCATAGTGATTATTCCTTCACTGAGTTTTCTTGTGCACATCAACTGTGCCTGGCTTAATGTTTGTTCACAGTGATTAGACCTAGAGGCTTTCCTAGATGGAGTCTATTCATGTTGTTTACCATTAATTATAAATGAAAGCATTTTCACATTGATTGCAGACTTGGATTCTCCCCTATGCAAATCCTCCACTATGTTTAAAGTTTAGAGCTGTTGTTAAAGACGTCCACATTCCTTATATTTACAGTGCAAGTTCTCTCATGACATCTATGACCACACAACAGACTGAAGGTTTTGCTATATAAATGTCACACATGTGGGTTCTCTTTCATATAAATTTGCATATGTCAAATGGAGTAAGGATAACTGAAGGGTCCTCCCCACTGATTAGTGTTTTACAGTGATTACAGCTTTCTTCTATGTGACTCTCTCATGTGTTCAATTAAAGCTATGGTTGAAGTCTTGTTCATGTTTATTACATTTATAATACTATGTCATCTAAGGTCAGAATACTTACTGAAGACATTCATAATTTTCTCTCCATTGTGGGTTCCCTCATGTCGCCTAAGGGCAGAACACTGACTGAAGGCTTTTCCACAGAGATGACATTCATACGGCTTCTCTCCAGTGTGAGTTCTCTCGTGACGTCTAAGAGCAGAACATTTACTGAAAGTTTTCCCACAGAGTTGACATTCATACGGTTGCTCTCCAGTGTGCGTCCTCTCATGCTGTCTGAGGTTGGAGGATTGACTAAAGGCTTTTCCACAGAGATGACATTCATACGGCTTCTCTCCAGTGTGAGTCAGATTGTGTTTTCTAAGGTCAGAGCTTTGAATAAAGGCATTCCCACAGATATGGCATTCATAAGGTTTCTCGCCAGTATGGGTCATCTCATGTCTTCTAAGGCTAGAGCAATTGCTGAAGGCTTTGCCACACAGATGGCATTCGCATGATTTACCTCTGGTGTGGATCTGCTTATGTGGATTAAGGTATGACTGGTCACTATGGGATTTTTGATACTGTTTGCTGATATTGGGTGTCTTTTCTGTGTGAGTTAACAAATGTTGTGTCAGTGTGGAGCTAGGACTGAAATCTTCTCCCAAATCATTATATTCACAGGGATCCTCTGGAGTGTGAAATGTCTGCTTTTGGAAAGGAGATGAAAGGCTGTTAGTGATTTGTCTACATACATTCATACACTCCTTGCTCTACATACAAATCCAAAACACATCATTAAGTGAGAGCTTCCATTTACAATCTTCCCAATATTACCTGCATACACACAGTGATTTGCTTTTTATGTGTTATAAAGACTTTCTCTAAATAGTATCCCAACTTCAGTTTGAGCTTATATGTTAATTCTGAAGACTGCAATATGTTTCAAAGACTAGACATATGAACAATATTTATGCATTTGCCCATCCTCTTTTTTTTTTTAAAGATCTGAGGTTATGGTTTTGAGGTCAGGTTAATTTCTTCACTAAATTCAAACCATTTAAAACTTTTTGCTCAGAAATACCTTAATCCAAATTATTAATACCCACTGCCAGGTTTTTAATGTTGAGGACCAGGGTTAACACTCAGGAAACTTACCATTGGGATGATTGTAGATGTGTCCTTCTTGCTGATATGCTGTGTGGCTAACAATTCTTCTTTAAAGGCACTTTCCCTGCCTAAAATAATTGGGAAAAAAAAATCAGAATGGCATTAGGGAAATGGAAATGTTGAAAAACTCTGACTTCTATGTTTCAAAAACTGGCATGTCGATGGGGAACACTCCAAGAAACAGAAACACATTATAGGGCATTGACAATTAGTAAACATTTTCAGGACTGAAATATGAAAAATTTAAAATGGAGATGAGATGCTGAGTAGGTAAAGAGGGAAAACCTTCAAAGGGGAGGATGGGAACAAGAGTTATTAAGTGAAAGTTTAATAAGTATATGAATGTCCTTTTCCCTAAAGCCAAAAAAAAAAAGATAATGGCAGGAGGACACATGAGTGAGCCTGAAATAACAACATTTAAAGAATTTTGCCCTAGTGTCCTTCACCTACATCTTAGAAAATATCACTCAGTTAACAAAATCTTCAGTTGATGTTTTCTAAGTATATACTCAGTATCACTGACTCGGCACAGGCCCCTGATGCATACCTGGACTGTGGCTTTGGAAAAATCCTCTTCCTTCAATCCACAGCTCTTCACCTTGCTCCAGCTGGAAAGTCACATCCAATTTGCAATGCTGATACCCTGTTCATGGAAAAAAGGTGGATTTTGAGTTTTGTGCTACTGAAAGCACATTATCATCAAGTCCAGGACAGGCTACTGAGAAATAACAAGGCTGACCACTGAAGTTCAGCTCAGGCAACAACACTTTGAACAGACAAAACATTGAAATACAGGTTGTGTGTCCAAAATAGTGAAGACCTCTAGATGCTGATGTCCATGTTCGAAGACAGGACACACAGAATTCTTAGTCTTTTCCAAAATGGAGAAATTAAATGTCCCCATAGTAGACTGAATATTATTTTCAAACAGATGCCAATAAGTTCCACAAGTATAATCAAGGTTTTACCATTTTCTCTCGTCTGCTGTCAATCCTCAGCACAGTGACTAAAGCAGAATAACTAGAAAATATTTATACTCAATTTATTGATACATCAAAAATAATAAGTTCCCAGGTCTGTTCTGAATATTAGAGACTGAATAGGAATAAAGAGATTAAACTGTGGTCAAGATTACATTTAGTAGGGTGACAAACTGGATGTAAGTATTCCATAAAGAAACAACTTGAATGTAGTTATAAGGCCTACAAAAGCATCAGGACAGAGACTGGGTGAGTATGTAGAAGCTGTTCTAGAAACTTATTGACTGAATCAATAAATACCTACCTACCTACCTACCTACCAGGGCTTCCCTGGTAGCTCAGATGGTAAAGCGTCTGCCTACAATGCGGCAGACCTGGGTTCGATCCCTGGGTCAGGAAGAGCCCCTGGAGAAGGAATTGGCAACCCACTCCAGTGCTCTTGCCTGGAAAATCCCATGGACTGAGGAGCCTGGTAGGCTACAGTCCATGGGGTTGCAAAGAGTCGGACACGACTGAGCGACTTCACCTCACCTCACCTCAACTACCTACCAACCAACCTACCTACTTATCTACTCACCTGCATACATACATAATTGTTGACAGACTCACCCACGAAGACCAGATGACTGATATTTTCCAGCATCACGTCTCTGAACAGTTTTCTCTGGGATGTGTCCAGCAGGGCCCATTCTTCCTGGGTGAAGTCTACAGCTACATCTTCAAACGTCACTGATTCCTACAACATGGATATTATGGTTCTGACAGAACAACTCTATTAACATCCAGGGCAGAAGGGTTGATATGGCAGTGCTGAGTAAGGGGGTGGAGACGCTGGGTGTACAGAAGGATCAAGCCAAGTTTGGGGTTCCCATTAGTTCATGCTGAGCTGGTGTTTGCTTTTCAGATAATCACAGAGATGTACACAGCCTGAATTAATACAACTTTGTCATAAAGAAATACCACATGAAGTGTGGTATGATAAAACGTGAAAAATTTCCCCCAAAATGGTAATTATGAGTTCAGACATGTAATTAAAACTTTCACTTGAAAATTCATAGAACTCTCTTCTTGATTAATTTCAAATAACTTACAGACATATCATAAGGCAAACATTAACCATGATTTGCCACTTTTAAACCATAACTGTGGTTATATCATTCCCCTAAAAGAACTTCAGACTCCTCATCTATTAAATGGTTTACTAATGTGCTATGAGTATTGAAAGATCCAACGAACTAATGGATGATGTTCCTCCTATCTAAGTAAACATGCATTAAATACAAACCTCAGTCTATTACTCAGTAAACTGTCCAAGAACCTTGAAACCATCTCCATCATTCTTCAGAAATGAACAAGGTTCATATAGAACTTGGTATCATTAAGTGCAGTCTCACTGAACTCAAAAGAGTTGGATGTTCACAATAAGGTATGAGGTCAGATAGTTCAGTAGCATAAGCCAGGGACTCTGAGAGAGCTCTCTTGAAGGACAGTCCTAGACTGACCATGCCTATTCTCAATTTTCTCTGGGACCTCAAACACCACTCATCACTCTCTCCTGTCTTCAGCTTGCCTCTCTGCTAAAGAATAACAGAAGCCTCTTGACTGGGTTGGGAATTCTAGCTCTTCAAAACTATCCACAGGGTCTTAAACTTTTACTTTACTATCCTCCTCCTGAACATGCAGCCACAATAAAGGAAATAATACCCCCTATATATTAATTTCAGTTACCAAGTATGAAAAAAGGGTTTTCTTTTTAAGAAGTTCCTAAAAGAGCAGATATAGTCTATCAAAACTTTAAAGTGATAAAAAAATAAATGAATGATTCCTCATGCATTCTCTGTCCTCAACTTCCCTCGTCCTCCTTTCAGAGCCCCCACCCCCCACCCCCAAGACTGGTGAAGACTGGACTCACTGAACTCAGGTGATGAGACCTCAGCCTCTCCACTGGATGGTAAACTTCTGCTCCTCCCTCATCTCTGGTCAGCACAACCTTAGGCCATTACAGCCAATAACATGATTAACAAGTGAATTATTCCCTGATGAGACCAGGGACAGATTAGAGAAAGAATACTTCTCTCACCTCTTCTATAAATACACAAGCTGCATGGAGGTGGAAATAAATCAGTGTGATGTTAGGAAGGATACTAGTTAATAGATTTCACTGGTGCTCAGACCCATGAATACTTTTTGATTGCACTTAGAACATCCAATCCAATAAGCGAAACCTGCCCAAGCATAAGCCAGGGACTCTGAGAGAGCTCTCTTGAAGGACAGTCCTAGACTGACCATGCCTATTCTCAATTTTCTCTGGGACCTCAAACACCACTCATCACTCTCTCCTGTCTTCAGCTTGCCTCTCTGCTAAAGAATAACAGAAGCCTCTTGACTGGGTTGGGAATTCTAGCTCTTCAAAACTATCCACAGGGTCTTAAACTTTTACTTTACTATCCTCCTCCTGAACATGCAGCCACAATAAAGGAAATAATACCCCCTATATATTAATTTCAGTTACCAAGTATGAAAAAAGGGTTTTCTTTTTAAGAAGTTCCTAAAAGAGCAGATATAGTCTATCAAAACTTTAAAGTGATAAAAAAATAAATGAATGATTCCTCATGCATTCTCTGTCCTCAACTTCCCTCGTCCTCCTTTCAGAGCCCCCACCCCCCACCCCCAAGACTGGTGAAGACTGGACTCACTGAACTCAGGTGATGAGACCTCAGCCTCTCCACTGGATGGTAAACTTCTGCTCCTCCCTCATCTCTGGTCAGCACAACCTTAGGCCATTACAGCCAATAACATGATTAACAAGTGAATTATTCTCTGATGAGACCAGGGACAGATTAGAGAAAGAATACTTCTCTCACCTCTTCTATAAATACACAAGCTGCATGGAGGTGGAAATAAATCAGTGTGATGTTAGGAAGGATACTAGTTAATAGATTTCACTGGTGCTCAGACCCATGAATACTTTTTGATTGCACTTAGAACATCCAATCCAATAAGCGAAACCTGCCCGTCTCCTCTCAGGAGCAGGGTATGCAGTTTCAGCAGAAAAAGGCATTTCCTACTCACCAGTGGCTGCATTGTCAATAACTCAGTTGCCAGCAGTCTTTCTCTGGGTTTTCACTCACAGACAGTCCCAGCATTAAGCAGGCAAAGCTGAGGATGGAGAGAAAGGTTGAAAGACTCCAGTCCTGTGCACACGTTCCAGTCCAACATCTCATGAAACCCCAAACCTTCACCTGGTTGTTGACTCCCAGTCTAACCAATCAACATGCAGCGCACACTCTATGGGAAACACACAGAGGATGCTGCTGCTCTCCCAGGGCAGTCATAACAACAACAACAGGAGCACAGACAACTTATGGACACGTATGGACAAGAACATCAAAGCTCAAAGTATTGAGCTTCACATCAATAAGTAACTTCAATAACTCTGTGATATCCAGAGTTATTCAATTCTCTCCCTGACTCCAAACCATAGTGACCCCTGACTCATGCCACATGTAGATTTTGGTTTTCATTTGTAGGTAACACTGGGAATTCTCAGATTTCATTATTCTTGATTTATGCACTCACAACGGTTCTTCAGCATTCATGGTGGCTCTCTGAAAACTCACTCCCTTCCAGCTCTCCCTTAACCCTTCTAGATCTGTCCCCCATGAACTTAGAAGTCAGTGAACTAAAAATCTGCATTATGATGGAAATTTAAGAATTTATTCTATTGGAGGAATCATGGCACCTATCCTGCCAGCCTTGTTCTTAAAATCCCCTGCACCAGAAAGTAGCAGGAGTCCAAGAGTCATAGTGGACCATCATGGACTGTCTTAACCCTGCAGGTCAAGGATGGTTGGAGTTTAGAAGGAAATCTAATTAATGCCACCTGATTACCTTAGTAAAGGGGTAGCTGAAATTCTTGAAATCCCTGCATTAATCTTCATTAGCTGCCATATGCCTGCATTTCATTATATACAAACACACATATGTGTACATGCATACATATACATATGCATACAAACGTGTGTGAGAGACACACAGAGAAAGCATTTATAAAGCGTAAATTCTCCCCTTTGTTGTTGTTTAGTTGCTAAGTCATGTCCAACTCTTGCGACGCCACAAACTGCAGCCCTCCAGGCTTCACTGTGTGTGGGATTTCCCAGGCAAGAATGCTGGAGTGGGTTGCCATTTCCTTTTCCAGGGCATCTTCCCAACCTAGGGATTGAACCCATGTCTCTTGCATTGGCAGGCAGATTCTTGACCACTGATCCACCAGGGAATTCTCCTCTAAAATACCAATAATAACTAAATATATTTTATGGAAAAATGATGATAATGGGTCATAAATAAAAGTAAGATTAACTCACCCATTTGTACCAGAGGTCCACAAAAGAAAAAAAAAAGATACATTTGCATCAAATATGACTCTGTGCTTGGATATTTACATACTCACTTAGTCCTCACAGTAACCTGGTGATTTTATCAATTTAACAGATGACATGGATAGTTTAAACCTCAACTAGCAGAGACTTTCACTAAATCCAACCAGAGGTAAACCTTTCCCTTCCCCTCTGCCCTGATCTACACAGAACTCTACCATTCCCTGAGGCCATTAGTCACTAGATATTTATTTATGCTCTGTCCTCCCATGGTCTAAATCTCCCTAAGAATGATACAATTAGGCAAGTTCACCTCTGACCATTATGTATGAATTATAAACACAGAGAAATGTCCATTGCAAGGTAACTTGCCCTCCGTGCCTTGCCCACAGGGGCTGCAGTCCTGTAAAAAATTATTTTCTGATTATAAACTCCTTTCCAAAATAATGGAGTCTGTCCTTCCTGGTAAAAATTCTAATATTTACCCCAGTCCATGGAAAAGCTAAAGAAGCCAACTACTGGGGATACAGTCACTCACTAACCAAAACTACACAGCATATAACTATCTTTCAGACCCATATGTGTCTGGCTCCAAAGTCCATTCCCGGACCACAGTTTAAGGTGAGTTCTGTCCTTTCATGGTTAAAAATGCCTCTGAAAAATCAGAACCCCAGAGGGATAAACATTCAGCAGGGAGGGGATGGATAAAAATGGTGTAGGGTGTGCAGGTGAGCTGGGATGCTTCCAGAAGGCTTTATGCTTGAGATCACAGAGTTCCATACTCGGTGACCGCAACCCGAATCCCACGAACTCGGGGAGAGAAGCCTGACAACTGGGGCTTCTCCCTGCAACAACCAAACACTCTGATGACTGGAGGCCTAAAATCAACTGCCTTCAGCCAGAATCAGGGAGAGGAGAGAGTGAGATGCAGGGCCTTTGGACAACACCAAAGCTGCGCTCAGCCATCAGATATACCCCCTCTCCACTCCAAGGAGCCCAGCGCGGGTTCTGTGTCAGAAATGCCACGCCGGTTTAGAGCAGAGACCTTCGATCGTTGTCCCAAGTAGAATCCATACATACTCTGTAAGATGTCAGGTACATGTCTCCATGGAGCAGAATGTTCAACCAGCATCTTCCAAAGCTGACAGACCCTGCAGAGGGAGAAAATGGACATTCCTTCATTCTCTGAAACTGAGGCAAGTCTGTGGTTTCACCTGAGCTCCTGCCGTCCTACACACGAGGCCAGGAAGTGGCTGGACACCCCACTCCAGGTGGGCCCTAAGCTCTATCCCAGTGTTCCTCCTTACTGCGTGTGGACTGGGTCCTATGTTCTACACCCCTTAGCACCTGCCTCTATCCTGAGCTCTGAGGTACCGGCTCTTCAGAAGAATGAGGACACCCGTCCCCCCGACACTGGTCCATACCTGGAAACCTGAATCTTCTCTGTGATACACAGGAGGGAGAATGCTGTCCGCATCCCAGAGACAAGCAGTGCCAGGGTGGTTCTCAGGCTCGCTCGCTGCCTGTTGTAGGCACACACTCTGAAGAGGAACAAGAATCTTCTGGGGCGAATTGAGGGGACTAAGGATCTGGAGGGTGATTTAAATGTCTGGAGGTGGGGGTGAGAAATAGAATTCTGGGCACTGTTTCCTCTTATTTTCCTCTGTGAGTCACCCAACAAGGAGGATAGTACCATCAATCAGATCTGTAAGAAAAGCCCCAGATTAATGCAAGGGTCTGATAACTGGGAAAAGGCTGTCAATACCGAGGATAGTTCACAATGTCCAGGAGCTACTCTGTCAACACAGTTTACGTACTGAGTCAAAAAGAGAAGAAAGATCTAGTAAGACTACTCAGGCATTGTCCATGGGGTCAGGTTAGGTTTTGACCTCAAGGTAGATTTAAATTGAAATGTAAAATAATTTTTTTACCTTTAGAGTTTTTCTTCTAAGGACATAAAAGATATCCAGGGAACCCCTCTGCACAAAAAACAGAACAGCCCTGTGAATGGGAAGGAACATATCTAGCTATCACTGTGCTTTCCCCACACTTCCAAACAGAAGGCATCAAAGGTCACCAGTAGGTGAGAACTATAAATAAACGTAGCCCCGCGGGAGCTGATATCTTTCTCCAAACTATCACTATGAATTCATGTGGTTTAAGGAGAACCCAACTCAATGAAAAAGACTTAGAAAAAATAACCAAAGCAGTAATTATTAAAAAGACTAAAGTGTAAGAGAGACTGGCATGGAAAAGAGACTGAATATTATATTCAGATTCCTTTGCCTTGGAGCAGAACATCATTTAAATATTATACAATAATTTTAGTGATAAGACTACAAACTATTAAAAACTTTAATTAACAGAACTTCAAAGCATATCACAAGAATGAAAATAAGAGATTATAAGACATCAGAAGGAAAAATGACTTGACAGGGCTTCAAAACTTCTGAAGTAAAATAAAGATTTATTAGTAATTTAAAAGAAGAGACCATATTGGGAGAGCAGAGAAAAGAGAACAGACAGTGCTAAAAACTCATTCATTTATGTGGATGACAGGCTTTAAAATGAGCAAGAGATAAAAGAATTAAGTAAAAATCAAGTAAAAACTATTGAAAGGATCAGAGAGAAATTGAAAACTGTGAAAGACAAGTCTGCAACTTATAAAATCCACATTAACGGTAAAGATAACAAAGGAAATGATATGACAAAAATAATGTTATGATTTAATTCAATAAAGAAGGATTAAAACATATTAAAAAATACACAGAACAATACAGTAGAGACAACAGTCTTAGATAGTTGACAGGAGACGTGGAAGGAGGGAACGGAGAGCTATTGCTCCCATCATAGGACCATTATCATTACTGACATTCATCACCGTGATGGTACTTATTACAACAATTATGATTTATCATTGCTGTTAAAAAACACTGACTCACCTTTCTCTGTTCACACAAGGCACCGAGTTTCCTGAACGGACTACAGAGGGTTCCACAAATACATACAAATACACTGATGCTTTCAAGTCATTCCAGGGCCCTTCCTAGAAATGAGTGTCCATCAATTTCCCAAGTTTCTCTCAGGAGGCCAGAAGTGGCCATTTTGACAGAAGAGACTAGATAAGGACATCCTGGCCTGCCTGAGCCTCTGAAAAACGTTCTAAGTCATATTGGGGACCAGCAACCATTTGATCCTGCCTGCAAGGCCTGGGAAGGAAGCCCACAGCTGACCAGGCTCAGTGAAAATTTTCCTAGAGTCCTTGGAGGCCCTGGCATAGATACAACAGGAGAAGCATGGAAACTATAGAGGAGGTCCTTGCCACCTGGAGGCTCCGCTGCATTTTCTAGGTGCGCCCAGAACCAGGCGACTGCTCACCTGCTCTACATCCTACGAGTACAAAGGAAGGCAAGAAGGGACCATCGAGCTGCCCACTCGCAGCCCCAGGCTTGGAAGCAAGGTCTCAAAGTACATACCTCTAGGCTGTGGCGGCGGGCAGATGGCAGGATGTGTAGCAATACAGTCAGGGCTGAGAAAGGCTCTAGTCTTATTGTTCAGAGTAGGTGGGGCCCTGGAGGGCTGGGAACAGGGCACAGTCCCTGAGTCTGGCCTTCTTCCCGGGAGGCCAGATTCCCAGGAAGACACATACACACATACTTAAATGAATATGAGTGTACTCTGACAGGCGCTGCCAATGGGAAGGGATCTGAAACCACGGGGTGTCACAGGACAGGAGTGGCCGCGCACTCCCACCCCGGGTCTCGGGGGCCTGTCTGAGGAGATGACTGCCAAGAAATCGCCTGGGCAGCAGTAGGGCTGGGGCCCAGGACGAAGTAAGGCTGGAAAGGAGGAGTCCAGAGAGGACAGGGGTCTGCGGTACCCGCGGTCAGGAGCAGGCGTGACGGCCCGACTCCGCCCTCCAGGGCCGGGGGACACGCCGGGAGGGACCTGATCAGGCGCGGGGAGAGAAGGGAAGACGGGGACGAGGACCTAGGCTGGAAGGTCGGGGCGAGGACCAGGTTGACTTTAATACCAATAATCTCAAAAGATTTAACTCCTCTTTCCCAGAATATCACACTACAGCTATCAAAAAACATATTAAGAAGACCTAATCAGCAGCACTGGAAAAGATGAAAGAAAGGAGTAGCGTTGGAAAATGTGCAATGGAAAGAGCGCAGCAGCTGATTCACCCTGAGCAGAAGTGATCTCTTCCAACTAATTCTGAGGACAATGCAGTTCACCCTCGATCACTTTCCAAGACAAGACGAAAGGATGTCTAGGGGGGCACCTCTCCGAAGAGGAGACTGTGAAGAGATGCCCCAGGGAGCAGTAGGGCCCCAGGACCAAGTGAGGCCGGGGAAGGGGACTCAGGAGAGGACAGGTGTCTGCAGAATCCAGAAACAGGACCCAGACTTGGTTGGAAACCTCAGTTCACAGCCCACTAAATTAAAAGCTCATCTAAGGGGATACAGATGTTGAATATTAGACTAAGGGGTTAATCTAGGGTTTGACTGTGAATATAAAAAATTACCAATATCTTTAGCAAGAACACACTGAGGTAGCATAAACTTATTTAGCACTAAGATATATTTTCAATATATGATATCAATTGGAAAACCACTGAGACATCATCAACTGAATCTGACACAATACACGTGAAAGGGAATTAAGTTGGTAATTTAAGAACAAAATCAATGAATCTGGGATCTACTTTTCTTTTGCCCCTCGCTGCTACTGTGGCTCATAATAACTCCCTCCTCCCATTCTGTCCTTTTCTGTCTGTGGATCATCCTTTTGTGTCTTTTCGTTCACCCCCCTGCTTTTTGTCCAGGTCACTCTCCTTCATTCTTTACTGTGTCTTTCCAAGCCCAGGGGACCCACTCCCCCAAGCTCAACTGCCCCCTGCTTCTATCTCACGCTGTCTCCCTGGTTCTCTCTTGATCTCCCTTCCGCCTCATCCCCTTGCCCCACCTACGCATTCACAGGACGAGCACGCCTTCCAGTGGGGCCCTGGGAACGTAAACACACCCTGACAGGCGCTGCCAATGGGAAGGGATCTGAAACCACGGGGTGTCACAGGACAGGAGTGGCCGCGCACTCCCACCCCGGGTCTCGGGGGCCTGTCTGAGGAGATGACTGCCAAGAAATCGCCTGGGCAGCAGTAGGGCTGGGGCCCAGGACGAAGTAAGGCTGGAAAGGAGGAGTCCAGAGAGGACAGGGGTCTGCGGTACCCGCGGTCAGGAGCAGGCGTGACGGCCCGACTCCGCCCTCCAGGGCCGGGGGACACGCCGGGAGGGACCTGATCAGGCGCGGGGAGAGAAGGGAAGACGGGGACGAGGACCTAGGCTGGAAGGTCGGGGCGAGGACCAGGCGCGCAGCGGTTTTACCAGAAACAGGTGTGGGTCCGGCCCCCGCGGCAGAGCGCCTCCAGACTAGGCGGGGCTCCCCGTGGCTGGGACGGCAACAGCCGCGGGGGCCCGGGAGTGTGGAGGACCCGGCGCTGAGCGCGTCAGCGCGCGAGTTTGGACGCAAACTACTGAAACTCACTCGGTGAACCGGGCCGCCAGTCCCGGAGATCTGCTTCCCGGTTGGCAGGAAATGGCGCCGCCGAGGGGCGTGGCCAGGGGCGGGGCTCTGGGGGCGTGGCCGCGCCACCTCCCCTCCCCTGGGCGTTTCCGGTTGGTGGGTACCTCGTCTCTCAGTCTCCATCGCCTTGGGGCCTTGGGACCTTGTCCGGTGTCAGGCCCGTGGCGCCGCGCTCACGTTCCCTCCAGTCAGATGTTTACGGTGCTTTCAGGTAAAAACCTAGGGTTCTGAGGCCACTTATATTGAACGCAGAGATCTTTCCTTCTCAAGAAATAGAAAAGGATTTAAGTCAAAAATCCTTTCTGGGAGCGTGTCCTGTGAGTCCTGTGATACGTTTGACATTTGGGTGGGAATGGCATCCCACATGTTGTGTAAGTCATTACTCTCTTAATATATTGTAGTTTCACATTTTCGTTTGTGTTTATTATCGCCGTTACTTGAAAGTAACAAGGGACACCAAGTGGCCCTTCCCAGACCAAACTCTGACCACCCCCCACCCCCACCCCCAGCCCCTGACAGCAGCTGTAGGACTTGAATGTCCAGCCCAAATCCTGCTCATGTGCCCTAAGTTCTCCTGAGAGCACCCAGCCCCCTACCTCCCCGTTCCAGGATCTCCAGCAACAGGATGATTTGTTCACTAACAAGTGGTCTAACCAGTGATATGGTGCTACGAACTGAATTGTGATCCCCCTCCCCTCAGTATTACGTTAAAACTCTGTTCCCCCAATGTGATGGTGTTTGGAAATGGGGTCTCTGGGAGGTAATTAGAGTTAGGTGAAGACATGGGGGCGGGAGGAACATTGGAGGAGGTCACCAGGAGAAGATGGAACCACTGGTGGACTCAAGAACTGGACCCAGGCAATTAGAGTTCCCTCATCCCCTCCCCTGTCTTTGAAATGTATATTCTGCTCTGTTCCCTCCCTAGGGTCATTTCTAGGAGGCAGCTTTGAGAGCAATGTGGTGTTGAGACCATCTGGATGGTGTGTGTGACTGAGGGTCCATTAAGGCCTCTCTAAATGCTTAAGCTTCTGGGAGTCTGGGTGGAGATCTACTCACCTTGTAGCTGCCCAAGACAAGCCTCACATGTTAAGTTCCCTTTCTTATTAAAACAGCCGCCTACCGTTCTCAGGCCAGGCTTCCCTCATAGCTCAGTTGGTAAATCATCTGTCTGCAATGCAGGAGGCCCAGGTTCAATTCCTGGGTTGGGAAGATCCCCTGAAGAAGGAAGTGGCAACCCATTTTAGTATTCTTGCCTGGAGAATCCCATGGACAGAGGAGCCTGGCAGGCTACAGTCCACGGGATTGCAAGAGTCGGTCACGACTTAGCGACTAAACCACCACCATTCTCGGGCCAGAGGGTACCCCGATATTTGGTTAAATATTGTTGTGGATGTGTCTCAAGGGTGTTTCTGGGTAAGATGGACATCTGTGTTAGTAAACTGAAAGAAGTACAGTTGCCCTTTCCAGGGCTGGGGAGGGAAAACTCATCCAAGCCTTTGAAAGTCTGAATGGAGCAAAAGACTGAACAAGAGGGAACTTGCTCTCTCTCTGCCTTTTTGTTTTCAAGCTGGGACATCTGTATTCTCCAGTGTTCAGATTTGGACTGTGTCGACTGAAAAGACGCTCAACTTGAGAGCTGCGAGTTAAATTTTATTTGGGGCAAAACGAGGACTGCAGCCTGGGAGGCAGCACCTCAGGGAGCTCTGAGAGACTGCTCCAAAGAGGCAGTGAGGAAGGTCAATACAGAAGATTTTGGTGAAGGGGGAGTTCAATATAATTATTTCAGTTCAGTTCAGTTGCTCAGTCACGTCCAACTCTCTGCATCCCTATGGACTGCAGCACACCAGGCTTCCCTGTCCATCACCAACTCCCGGAGCTTGCTCAAACTCATGTCCATTGAGTCAGTGATGCCATCCAACCACCTCATCCTCTGTCATCCCCTTCTCCTCAATACTATTAAACACTCATTTTACAAGAGGTTTTCTACTAGTCAGGTGGAGCTGATGTGATCATGAAGGGATTTAGTGCTTCTCTAGATATGAAGAGATGCAAGGGTTGGGATCATGAAATCAGCTTCTGAAAATATCTTAAATATCTAAAGACCTGTTTGTTAGGTTAAATGAATAGTCTTGTTTAGGCTTCAGAGGCAAAGCAGAGCAGGTCTCTGACCTTGCTTCCAACCTGCCTGGACACTGCCCTGGGAGTGACTATGAGTGACTGCCTGCTGTGAGTGCAAGACATGCAGCACCATAGACAAAATGGAAGAGAAATCTTGAGATTGTTGAGACCCTGGAAGAGGCCTGGCCAACCAAGCCTCAGGCTTAACTACATTCCAAGTTTTACACAAC